TCGGGTCAGATTGCATTTCATTATTATATATCAAATATAATGTATCTCCTTGAGATTGTAATGAAAATAAAAATAAAGAGGCGAGCATAAAAAAGAACCATTCCAAATAGCTATAACAAAATTTAGCACAAGGACAGCATTATAAAGGGTAAGCTGATACACAAATGTACTGCTTGAAAATTGTATTTGAGAATCACTCTGAGCTCTTTTAGTTTCAAAACAAAATGAAGTTGTTTTCCAAACTTTCTATTCCTAAACCTTTTGAAAACCATTTTTTCAAGATTCCCAAGTAATTCTGCGGGCAAGATATTGTAAAATTTGAATTACTTCATATACAAATTACAGATTGAAGAAATCACTTTTTTAGCGATGGCAGATCTTATAAAACTGAAGCTTTTAAAAATGTCATTTTCATTGATAAAGATCAGTATATAAGGAATTCTTGTTCAAAAGTTTAAGTGAAACTATGTTTTAAAGTTTTATGGTTGTAAATACAGTAATTTTGTGTTCCTCTTTTTCATATTTTTCTTTTCGACAAACAAACAAATATATCATTGTTTTGCCAAAACCGTGTACCATGTATTTATTCAGATTGGAACAAGCAAGAACTTGTTCATCAGTCCATATTACCATATCCTGCATTAATGTGTGTATGCTAGAGATATTTGATAAACATCTCTGTGACTCTGACCTATAGTATGGACACAAGCTTTGTAATAACCCAGACTCACGGTCCAGTATAAAACAAAGGCTTGATGTCTGCCTCACAACTCTGTGATAAAACGAATGGCTTTTGTCAGTTCTGTGTAAAGATGTCTTACTTAAAACATAAAAGGACTGGAAAGATAATTTTCCTTATCCGTGGGAAAATATTCAAACCAGTACAGGTAGTTTAAATTTTTGATTTTTAATTGTGTGATAAAAGAACAGATGAATCTGGGCTAGTACAGACTTATTCTGATGTATTCTGTGACATTTGCAATAAAGGAAATTAATTCTGAATTTAATTTATCTGCATAAATTTTGATTTCATGAGAAATTAGTCTTTAGTACATTACATTGCTGTATAGTTGTCAGATATATTATAATAAATTTCACATTGTCCAATTAAAGCTGTCAGTGCAAGTCAGTACAGAAAGTAGCTAAAGATGATGCCAAAGAAGGTTTTAGTGTGCCTCTATGGCAGCTATATCTGAACAAAACAATGAACAGGGGAAGTGTGTGCCTCTATGGCAGCTATATCTGAACAAAACAATGAACAGGGGAAGTGTGTGCCTCTATGGCAGCTATATCTGAACAAAACAATGAACAGTGAAAGATACAATTCACTTGACAGGGGAAGTTACTCTAAGCCAGAAAAAATAATTTGCTGCTTCATCTTCCATATAAGAGGGCGGGGGGAGTACTCCAAGTAAAAGAAAACTTCATCGGAACTCTTCTGCACAATTATAACTGATGCAGCGCTGTCCTTAACTATAAAAGTTCACTATTATAGTTTTCTGTTAGGTTTTTACTTTTTTGAGATGTGGGGGGAGGGGGGTTGTTCATGTGAAAATATGGATATTTCATCAGTTTTTGAAACCAAGTCTTGTGAATAATATTGCCTATATATATACATAACCAAAAATATCCATAAAAAAGTAAATGTACACAATGTACTATGAATTAAAAGCCAGTATCCTTCTGTATCTAGCTACTTCAGGTAAAAGATTTGTGGGTTAAAAACAAGAAATTTTCAGAATTGAATCCATGCAAATTAATATGTTTTAATGAAATTCATTGCTATATTTGTGTAAACTTTATATATTTTACAACAATTATGAAACAAATTATTAACGTATATAAATCACTATTGTTGCCCTGGATGTTAGCGAGCAGGGATATTAATGTGGGAGGAAACCGCGGTGAGTACCCCAAGAAAACCCACATGGTCAGGCAAGTGACCCAATCCCTTTTCACGTCTTATAGTACTCCAACAATGTTAGAGGTTTTACACGGCGAAAAACTTTTGACAGGCGCCGCGTAACCTCTAACTGCCCATAGCTGATTTTCCCGATGCTGACTATCACATTTTCCAAGTTCGGATTAAGAAGGAGTATATCGTGTTTACATACATTTAAATGGTCAAAAGGGTCCAATAAATATTCCTTTCCATAAATCCATGATTATATGAGAAAAATTTCATGTCAAAGACATAAATAATGAGTTTTTCCTCATTCGAAGCGAAGCAGACAGCATTTGCTATGATTTTTCCGGTTAATACAAAAATGGATTACATGTAATGTTTTACAAGCGGAATACAAACAAACTCCGTATCATTTCGTTCCGTTTGAAATTCCCCCTGATATTCTGTATTAATCCAGAAGCCATGTTTTAAATGTCGGTCAGAGATGTGCTACAACGACATGGACATGTATTTTGAGTGTTTTATTCCGTAATATACTATATATTTGTGTCTGTGACATATTTATGAGATCAATATTATATAAACCGTGAGTAGACATCGTTGTCATGAACTGTTAACCACTTATGTGAGTTTTTCAAGCCGATTTTGTTCCGCCCGGATTTCGGGCGGAAACTGCATCAAAGAATTAGTGCTTCGGAAATGAGAAGCAGCAGTCGGCAAAATCATATCCGATTGAAAAAAGGCCGACCAGCGGCCTCTCATGTTATGGGAGTAGTCTTATAGGGGAATCGAAACCCGGTTGCCTTGGTGAAAGGCAAGTGCGCTATCCTCTGCACCACCTGTTTCTGTATTTAAAAGTTACTGATAGAAAAGGATGTTTATAGTATGCTCCTGGTTGACACTGTATTGACAATGAAATATGACCTTCATTGGGTGTAGAAAGGTCAAAGGTCAAGGTCCAAACAGACATGATATCCTATACTTACACTCTGCAACATTTAACAGGATATTCCTCTTGATTCTAACACAACACTACTGTGTCACCTGATACACTGCTGTTTCCGCGGTAATTATAGGGTGCATCCTACAGTCATCATCATATCTGACACTTTCAAGGAACGTAAAATGCCATCATACTGAAATATGTAGAATCGTATAAATTCGTACCGCTTAATGAGTGCGTAGGACTCAGATTGTTGTTTTCATAGACAAATGGATTTAATGTGTTTTTCAAATGGCACCTGCACAAGAAGAAAAAATTGTAGAAAGGGACCACTGATAAAAAAGAAGAAATTAAAGAAATTTTCTGTGCATCTAATTTTATAACTGGAATAAATCTGAAACAAAATGGACACATAGCATCTGCGTAAACAGCATGTGATATTTTATTGCATTATACCTGCATACAAATTTCCAAATGAGTGTAAGAAGCTTTATCTAGGGGTCAGAGTAATCATAGTGCTCTTGGCCGTTACTGTATCAGACAGGCTCTGAAACCTAATTGGGGTCATTTTGATTCAAGGAGGGTCAGTAAATTCCTTAGAAATTTGAAACTTCAAGGTTTTATTACCTGCAGGTAATGTTACTGTAACAATACTTTATGGTGACAAACGTGCAAATACTCTACTTAATGTGCTATTGCATCATGGGATTAAACCCTGTTTCACAGCAGTATATATTTAGGTCCCATAAACCTCTTCCTGATATAGACTTGATTTATCTCTTAGCTCCAGAAAATGTGTTTCCTGATAGACTTATACAAATTGTACCTCTTCAAAGGGTGAAGAAATACAGAAAAAGACACTGTTAAAGATTGTGTAAACTTATTTGAACAGTAGAGTGCTTATAAGGTAAAGAATATACCAACAAGTTTAACTTCATTTCCACTAGTGCTGTGTCATAGCAGGGTGGTAACAATACCATACACATCAGGACACAGCCTGGGTCACGATATGTATTGTGATACTTATTACAACTTTTGTACGATTTGAAACAAGTCTGAAGCATTGGTACTCCATACTGAATTAATTTGTTTTTCAAGTGTCTATCTCATCAATTGTATAGATTTTTTGAAAAATCTTTCTTTTTGTTGAAAGTACAACAAGAAATACATGCTAAAAGGGGAGCGGTAACCCATACAGAACTTTTGTTAAAGTATCACAATGCATTGATGAATCGTTGCACCTCTAATTTTCACCATTGTCATTATTATAAAATATTTTGTTGAAATTTTTTCTCAGAAGAAGTATTTCATAAAAATGACATATTTCAGTGTATTTTACAGAATAACAATTGTTTCAAATTTGAATGTTTGAAAAAAGAATTAACACAAAACTATGGGGATCAAACTCATAACCTTTAAACTGCAAGCCTATAGCTATACACCTTACCATTGTTGCCATCCAGGAATTATAAATGCACAGAATTTAATTGAGTGTCCCATTTATTGGCCGCAATAACCTATGGAACCCACTGAGCATTGAAATGTACATAACTTGTCAGGGGAAGTTACTCCAAGTCAGAAAAACTGCCCTCGGCTGCTTCATCTTCTCTATTTAAGGAAGAATACTCTCAGTCAAAAAACTCTTAAAGTGGAATTCTTCTTTGTGATTTTAACTGGTGTAGTGTAACCCTTTAACTTAACACTCAACCACATCTCAGTATCTGTTTACTTATATACTATCCCTAGATAAAACACATACAAGTACATCTTAGTTTCAAACTGTTTGCAGACATAAGAACAACACAAGAAAAAACCCAGATTGAACCTTAAGCTTCAGTGTCATTAGTACCACGTACTTGAAGGGCATTACCTTTAACTTTGGGACATTACAAGATGTATTTTATAGTTCCTCAGGAAGAAAGTGATGTCTGAGAATGTTTCCCCAAGTCATGAATTGTTAGATACAGTTAAAAGCAGACAAAACAATACTCTCGACTTGGTGAGACATAAGGTACATCTATCTATCACATCCTTAAAAAATGAACATTGACCTTTTTCTTCCTCAGGCAGGTAAAACAACCTTGAATTGTTGAATTGCTTCCTTAGTTATACATATAATCCTGTTTTTAATATCAATTTTTTCTGTTGCAGCTACATCATTATTAACCACAGTGTGCAAATTCTTGACGAAAAGGGATAATGAGATGACTATCCCCGCCCTGAAATGAAGACACATCACAGGGAAAGTGGACCCCAGGTCACGCTGTCTTGAAGTTTTGCGGGGAAAAGTGGGATCCATTCTCTCCGATGACGACACATTGTAAGGATTATGGGATCCATTCTCTCCGATGACGACACACTGTAAGGATTATGGGATCACAATCTTTCTGATGACGACACATTGTAAGGATTATGGGATCCATTCTCTCTGATGACGACACATTGCAAGGATTATTGGATCCATTCTCTCCGATGACGACACATTGTAAGGATTATTGGATCCATTCTCTCTGATGACAACACATTGTAAGGATTATGGGATCCATTCAATTTCTCTCTGATGACGACACACTGTAAGGATTATGGGATCCCAATCTCTCTGATGATGACACATTGTAAGGATTATGGGATCCGTTCTCTCTCATGACACATCATGGGGATAGAAGAATCCTTGCACTACAATGACACGTTATGGAGATATTAAATTATTAAGCTGTGATGACCCCTCACAAGGAACTTAAGCGCTGTCCTCGGTTCGTTTCGTCCATATTGTTGATTTCCGTCCATTGAGTTTCGTCGTTGCATGAAACTTCCTGCCAAATGTTACTGTGTAAATCTGTTCTGTTAAACTCAATATAAATTTATTTTGTAAAGAATATTTACACACACGAGTATCTCCCAAGTCTTGATCTGGTGTTGTATTGGCATAAATAAGTACATATTTTGTTAAAGAAATTCACACATAGGTTGTAAATTATTATAATGTTAAATAGTTTTGAAAGAATATACCTTATTGTTGCACGAATGGGTTGGTACTGTACTTAATGGAGCACAGTCAATGTGTGACCCAGAATTCGTAGTTGTTACCTGTTTCATATTACAAATCATTACATATCAGCTTTCTGATGATTATATAATTGATATCAAACCTTACTTTTCCCAGTCATTTAGTTTATACAGCTCTTCCAGTCATAATAAACATGTGAATGGAAACTGACATTTATATTTAAAGAGCTACTTATGTATACGTACTGTAGTATCAGGAAATCACTGTTTATCTTAAATTATTTATTATGGATTTTGATACATTGTATCAGAAATACACTGTTTATCTCAAAATTTGTTACTAGTTCTGATATCTGGAATACACAGTTTATCTCAAAGTTTTATATATATGTATACATGTACAGTGCTAACTATTTATTACAAACTTGTATAACTGACAAACACAGTTAAGCCCAAACTGAGGATGTGTTGGTGAGTTACTTCCCTTTTGTATAATGCAAAATGTCAGACACAATTGACAGTAGCTGTGATGAACAATTGCTTGTAACTTCCCAGTTGACATTTTTGTTAAAATAAGTTTACATAATTATTAGAAAGGTATATAAAATGAAGCATGTATGTAGAATTTCGTAAAAATATTGATCTCCCTTTAAGAACAGATTAGCATTGTACACATGTATGTTTCTGCATTCTGTTGTAATATTCAAATTTGTCAAGGAATTAGCAAAGTGTGCAAATTATTATTACCATTTTTATGAAATATTTTAACAGACCTGTGTTAAAATCTTGAGGAAAGAAGATTTAAATAAAAATGTGGGATATATCTTTAATCATCAATCATTTTTATCTCCACAAACCCCAATTGTGATGGAAATTTACTTGATTGTGTAAGATGTTGTTGAAATCTGTGAGATATTGTTATTATGTTGTGTCATTATTTCCTCAAATTTTGCAACAATAAACAGTCGTTTTTTAGTACTATATTTTTGCTGGCTTTATACTGATTTTTTTTTTTTTTTTTCATCTTATTTATTAAAAGTGATTACCTAAGATTGTGGCCTTTTAAGTTAAACTGAAATCCTGCAGGTATGGAGTCAGAACTGCAGCCTTTTATCTGTGTATGCTTTGTACATTATTTTTCATCAGCATGTTTTTTGTTTCTTTTTCATTGAGGATATTTTGTAAATATGAAATTTAATAAGATATTGAATGACTCTGTCACCATTAAAGAAATTTTGTGAAAATACCTTTTTAAAATTGAAGTACTGTATTATCATATTGCGTCAATTTAATTAACAATATTCTTAGTACACAATACAACTTTGCTTACTTTGGAGATAATTGCAAAAAAGATCACACAAAAATGGGGGCATACAGTACTAACAGCCTGTCAGTGATAATATTGTTGGCTTCAAGTAAAGACCAGAAAAAATAACTTTTAGATGCTAATAATCAGGAAATAGTGCATTAATTGTTTAATTTTTATCTTTAAATTTGTTATTCTAGATATTTTTGCAGGAGTTGAAGAATTTAGACCATTTTTTTTTATTGTAAACAAAAATCAAAATGTCTGATTTTAACAAGTTTCACTCTACACAAAAATTGTGGCAACGTAAAGTTAAGGTTTGTAAAAAGATATCAAAGTTTTCAGACCAACAAGATTCCAAGGTTAAAAAATTATGGAAACTTCTCTTTGCATAAAAATATGAAAATGTCTGGACTATCTGGTGATATCGTTTTACAAAACGTTACTTTAAAGTGATATTTAGAATCTCTGTACCAAAGTTAAATTAAAAATTGTTCACAGAGAAACAAACTTTCAAAATCATTTGTATTGTATGGAAATATTGTAAAATGATTTGTTCCTCATCTCTGAACTTTCTCTGTAAGAAAGAATAGCTCCCCAACCACAGAACATTTCTCGTTTTGTTTTTAATTGTCGTTTAATAATAGCTATGCTCAATATTTTGTGTTCAGACATTGCATCAGATATCCTGTTTTTGAGAAGAGAAGATTACTGATAAAAATATGTTCAGTAAGTCATTGTTGTCAATAGTATACATTGTTCAGTCACGATTTTCATCGGGTTGTTAAGATTGTTTATTATTGTATGATTGAAGATCTGTATTTTACAACTTTCTGAAGTGACATTTTCATTATTTATTTTTATCTCTAAATCAAACCAGTTTGAATAGATTTTGCATAATCCCAGTTTCATATATTCAGTATATGAATATTTTCAATATTTGAATATTCATGTCATTAATGTAATGAATATTCAGTAGGCATTAATGTAATGAATATTCAGAAGTCATTAATGTAATGAATATTCAGAAGTCATTAATACTATGAATAAACATTATGTAATATTCAGTGATACATGTAGATTCATCAAATATTTGTAATTTATACCAAGTTAAATCAGCGCTATTATAAGTATTAAATGTTTTAAAACTCTCAATTTCATGATTATTCCAAGGCTGACTTGATGCCATGAATATTAAGAAGTTTCGCTCGTAATGGAATGTTTCTTTCCTTACCTATCATAGAACTTTTTATTTCATCCATTGGGCATGACGCCTTCCAAGACTTTTTCATATAGTTTGTTGACAATTTTATGCATTTTCTTTTTTTTTTACTTTTGCTAAACAAGTGTTGTCATGAGCACTAATTTGTACCTCAAAGTTGGACCGAATGTTTTCATGTTTTTTTATTTTATGTAAATTCACAGGCCTTAAACATCTTAGTTTATTTCTTTATTCCAAACATCTATGCAGTAACTCTTACTGTATACAGACAACAGATTAATCTACTGCTTATATACTGAAGATAGAAAGCATTCCTCAGACTAAGGTATTGAGAAGATTTTATAATGGTATGACTCTATAAAGACACTGAGCTCTTGTCTGCACTTAAAAACTTAGCCATAAGTGATATAAGGTTGGTACTTATTCATATTTTTTTCTCTCATTTTTCTAAAATATGTATAAATATATTTCAGTGCTTATTCATAGTAACATCAGTTTCCCATTTTGACTCCATGAATCAATGTTCACTTAAATGTTTGGTTCTGATGCATTAAAATGTCATGTATAAAAACATGTTTGTGATCATGACTTATATTAGTCACTACTGTATCAAATATTCTCATTAATCATCCAATTCAAATCAAAGATTAGTTTTGTAAAATTTTCACTTTCCAGATTGCATTTAGTCAAAGATTTTATGTAATCATCATCGACAGTAGTCTTAGAATCAGTAATCAGAAGAATTTTTTCTTTTTCAAATTCTCATGGGAAAGCGGGTGTTTGTTTATTCATGAAGTTTATCAAATAATTCTTGCTTTTCCTGGGGTTTTTTGTCCTTTAAAAAAATAGCTAGCTTTTCTAAATACAACTTGAAGATGAAATCATTAAGCATAACTAATTTTCATAATCATAAAGTTTTGTTTTTAACACATTTGTATCATTTACCATGTTTCCTGACATTGAAGGTTTAGGGTCGTAGAGCAGTTTGTTCATTATTGATTATTTGTTTGCAATAAAAAGTCAACAAAAAACCCATGGTTGGAGACTAAGTTGAGATTTGGAAAAAATATAATTGACATAGTATGGTGGATGTTCTCATTCGTTGTTCATGAAGTTGAGAAATTGACTTACAAGGGAATCACAAAGCTTCAAAAATTAAAAAAAAAAAAAAAGAATTTATGTAAAAGCTTATGATTATGTTCTAAATAAAAATCATAAGATATTATGTGTACGTGTAGGAGCAAGTCATGGATTGTAGGGATATTGAAATTCAAAATAAACTCTTGGTAAAAGTATTGATAAAAGGTATAAAAGAAACAGAATCAAAACTGTCAAATGTGTCCAGATAAAAAATAATTCATTAGCAGAATGTCAAGGCCGTCCATTTCTATTATGTCCTGTAAATTTGTGTGAAAACCAACACATTATTTATTATATAGCTGCACATTGCTTTAGTGTGGTGTTGAAATGGAATTGTAAATTCCAAAATACATACCCCAATTTGATGTCTCAGATTTGTAGATCTTCTGATGTCATTGATGTACAGACTCCGCTAGTGGGAACCGTTTTCACCAATGAAAAATGTAATTCTAAAGTTAGCATTTTTGTTTCAGAAAAGAAAATATCTGATTCATACAAAATAAGGCATATGACAGAAATGCAAAACCATGCTTTCATTTTGCTTCGTTGGCATTTAGTCGGAAGTACTTTTCTTATCAATTTTTGAAATAGAAATCGTCAAAAAACATCAGCTGTAAATTAATGGTAACGTTTCCTAGCCCTAAACCAATAGTTCTTAAACTTACAATGCTATAAAAAATTACCAGGAAATATGGTCTAATGACAGGCGAATATTGATACGTCATACAGGAACTGTTAAAGATGATAAAAACCCGGGACATCAAATAGGTGTACTGTACTTACACAAAATATGTTGTTATGATGTTGTTGAAAAGTTGAGTTTTTGCACTAAGATGTAAAAACTATTGTGTGTATATATATATAGGTTGTATAACAAATAAAATTGACTACTGTATATGTGGTGTATACCTGTAAACATATGTGATCTGGGGGAAAAGTGTCATACGTTCTCAAATACTGTACATGTTGTAGGAACGAACTGTTTCCTTGATGAAAAGGCACGTTTCCTACAAAGACAAAAAATGTATTTATTCCGTGTAGGACAAAGAAGGAAATGACCTGGAATATCCTAATTTGTCTTTCCTTGAAACGATCTGTGATTTCTTAGAATTATTTTGTATGGTCAACAAGCTTTTTATAACTATGTTTTCAAATTGGACCATGTATGTGTAAATAAAACACATCACTTTGAAAAATGAAACACTCGTTTTGGTATTCTGTGTTGGTTTCAATGTATTAGTCTTTATAGGATAGTTTCATGCACCAGAAAGAATATCTAACAAATCTGTTTCTATTGACTTTCATCATTACTATGTCACGATTGAAAATAATGATTAAAGACTTGCGGAGATCATCATCGGAAACCAAACTACCAAATACTGGACTATTGGAAACTATCAAAGATTTGCGGAAAACGGATTAGCGGAAACTAGCAGAAACCCCCTATCGGAGAATGCCTGTAGTTGAGACGGGACGAGGGGGTAAATACTAGACTATAGTTGTAACGGGACTATCGTGACATGGCTACTAGAGATCGGACTAAAATGCCTTGGTCGTACTTTCAGTCTTATTCAAATATATACATTATAACCAATTAGATGGACAAGGCAAGGCATGGAAATCACTTCTGTTGTTTTAAGTTGGCAATACAGTATTTTCGGTATCAGAAAAACCTTACACAGACATTACAGCATAACAGAGTTGAGTATACGCTAACTATAATGACGGGTGCATAGGATTTCTTAAATGTCAGTGAATGACATCGTTTTATTTCGACAAATGACCTTTTGATTACAGCAGCATTTATAAGAGATCTTAAATCTCAGAAAATAACATCGTTTTGTATTGAGAAATGACCTAAGATTACACGTGCGGAGCAGCAATTGTTATCTCGTATTCGCTGACCCCGTTTGTAAAACATAGCTCCTTAAGGTTGAAGAATTCTGGCATGTTTGATCGACAGACGATGTGTCACGTGACAATTCCCTACTGCCCCTAGCCAGCTGACCGTAGGGGGAATCGCAGGTTATCATAATTCCATTCAATTTTGAAGAAAAAGTGATAAAGCATTATCAAATTTTGTGATGCTATGATGCTGTTTACTGTCAAACAATGACTCGTGTCAAATCCTACATTTGACACGAAACTGAAGTGAAGACGACGGCGTAGCATCACTCACTGGGACACAATATACGTGTAACGGATTATAAACTTAGAGTGACCGAATTTCCATATTTCCGTATTAATCTGCTTCTTTTATCTGAATAATTTATGTCATCATGTGAAATTTGATTTCTGTCATTTCTTGTCTTCGTTTACGGATAATTATTGGTATTTGTGGCGAAATGACACGCCCTTGCAAAATAGAAGAAAAAAACCGAAAACGATTGTTAATAAATTGTATTTAATAGGCCCCATACAAAGTAGGGACACTTCCTCTTCTTTTCTCTCTCTTCTTCCTTTTCTTCTTTTCTCCCTTCTCCTTTTTCTTCTTCTTCTTTTTCTTCTTCTTTTCCCTCTTCTTCCTCTTCTTCTTCCGCCAAACTGTTCCTTGGTGTTTTTCTCGAAGACTATTGGCCGGATATTTATGAAACATTACATTAGTACAGTATTGGTCGGCGTGTGTAGATGTGCGTATGGTTATCAAACATGATCGCCATTGCCTCTGGTTGATTGATACATTTATGGGTTTTTTTATCAAACTAGTATATTACCGTATTATGGCATTGCCAGCTCTTTCTGATGCATCATTTCGGATCACGGGGACTTATGTAACGTTAACCGCTACAATTAAAACTTGTGTGCTTTTTCTTGGTTTTCTGGTTCTTTTTCCGACCAAAAACATCATTTCTCCCTCCGAAAATAACAAGACAATGCCATATTGCCAATTAAGACCAAACATCGCCAAGTGAAAAGGTAAAAAATCACAAGCAAACTAAGGAAATGTTGTTTTGACTTTTAAACTGGCGTGAAATAACGGCACAAATGTTCGCATTCACATTGGTTCTTTGATTAGAATTCACTTGAGTAGAAAAACTTACCAAAGTACCAAGCATACTTCTCTGAGCGTGAGTTAGACAGTGTCTGAATAATGCGACCGGGTAAGATGTCATTATATTTTAGTGAGATAGCTCTTTGACGGGTTTTGTTCTTACCAGCTAAAAACATTAAATACGCCATTGTAAAATGGCCCCGTTTTGCTATTAGCTGCTTGAAACTTTAATTAAACAATTGTAAAATGCCATGTTTTGGTTTTTAGCTGCTGCAAACTCTAAATTAACCATTGTAAAATGCCCCGTTTTGATTTTAGCTGCGGCAAACTCTAAATGAACCCCATAGGCTGCAATGCTTCCTAAATGGGGCGGAGATATTTAGAAAATCCTGATAGTATACCAGAGCTCTTGTGAAAAACTATTACGTAAGAGTTTAAAATTGTCATTGCCGACATCTTATATTTTTCCGTCAGTGTAGGGAAAGTATGCACTGTAAAACAGTAATTATTTTTAATGCCTAAAAGAGATAACTGTATGTTTACTATTTTAGAAGATATCTCATGCAATCCCAATTATATAAGATATCTCTATCATATTTAAAGATATAATTTATTTAATTATACAGACATCTTAAATTTTTAGGAAGATATATTTATTTCGTTTCCATTATTTCACACACAATTTGAACAAAATCTCGTGTGAAAACAGTAACAGGGTATGAAAACAAGCTTGGAGCTTATATTGATCAGCTTTCTTCAAATCACAATTAATTCCAAACTGATGAATCTTATTGAATATAAGATGAATACCGGTATTACAAAAATGTATCAATTTGGCTTGCCATAATATTCATTGGTGCGAGCTCCCCTGGAGTGGGACTCAGCTGCAAGCCTGATCGACCCGCTCTCTTGGTTTCAGACAAATAGATTGATCGGACATTTAGGGTTCTGTAGTGTCACAACACGGCTATGATAATGCTCAATATGATCTATGATCCTTCAGTTTTAAACACAGGAATTACAAGTACAAGTTATAAAGAAATATAGACATATTTGCTTGAACTGCCTAAACTCAATGAATTGAAGGTTTCAAAATAATTGATGAACAACCTTATTCCTAATCGTTTTTCATTTATTAATAATATGCATCTGAAATATTTTCAATTTTGACAGCTAACATATGGTGTTTTTACCGTTTCGATTTTTTTTCTTATTCATTTTGTTATCTATCTGTTTAATTTTTTATTTATCTATTTATGCATTTATTGATAGATTTTATTTATTGGTGTATTTATTAATTTATTAAATTTATCATGTTTATTTATCTCTATTTTTCACTTATCAATTTATTTTTGTAAAGAGTCTAATTATCGGAAAACAAACTTGGATAAACGACAGTTGAGTATTTGAAACTAAGGGGAGTGAATTGCACCAGTCTATGACGAAGCAAGAACACACACTAAGTAACCCTTAAAGCACGAAGGCAATGATAATTATAGAATAGATTTCATTGATACAGCTTTAAAGAGAGATGACAAGGGTGTATCTCAAACTACTCTATATTTAACCCTAGGTATACGGATAGAGTAGGGTGAAGAAACAGGAAAATATCCCTGTTCAGAATTTACGGAGTTCCCTGGAGATTTTCATAAATTCTTTTGAATTTATTTGACGAACTGTATACTAGTTTATTCAGGTTTATATTTTATTCTAAATGATTTTTACTTGTAGTATAGGTACATATCGCGTGCGTTTTGAAATTTTCAGTGATAATTAAAGCATTCTCATATTTCTGAGAAAACAAAAAAAATGCTTATTTATTTATTTATTTATTTATTTATTTATTCAAACGAAAATATCTGAAAATCATAGTTTAATATATAAAGTTAACAAAAACTTAGCATAATGACATCAATATCCTTAAAATATTTCCAGTTTGAAGAACAGTTTATAATATATTGTATATTTATCTCGCTTTATAAATTATATTCAAAGTTTATTTAAAACAACATGAAACCAAAGCAGTTCTATGACGTGTGTAATAAATTATTTTTTTATAAAACCGTTTTATAAAAAAACTGAACAATTTTACATAGATATTTTGAATAAATGCATTGTTAGTAATAACCGATATCTTCTTTCAATTATTTGATATACATGTATCATATTTTTGGTTTGATTTGTTTGTGTTTTACGTCCTATTAACATCTATGATCATTTAAGGACGTGCCAGGTTTTGCCATATTATATCATATATACTGTTTATACTATAATGAATTACTTGTAAATCATATATACTTTAATGTTGTTTAATAACAGACATTGGTGCATATACACAACATTAAAAGCACGTTGTGGAAAGCTATACAACCCACGCTATCCTTTTGTGTTCCGTTGTCTCAGAAGGAGGGAACCCTATGTAGGCTAATAATCCTTCAATTTCATAAACAGAACGATAATTAATAAAATACAATTCCCAAATTTTGACCATAAATTATATGCGCAATCTGAGTCTGATCACTTTGATGTTCATCAAAATTAGCATTTTTATTAATTAAATGACGAAACAATTATGATAAATACTATGGTTAATTGTTCTTTGCATTGCTGTCCGGAAAGTCTCCAAGTCCGGATTTCCTTAAAAATAAGTAAACAAAGTGTTTTGAAAAACAAATCCATAAACAACATGTCTTGAAAATAAATTAGAGTGCCGGAGAAAAATAAAAGATACATGTATCTGCTCTGGGCCGAGGAACAGATACTTTGTCTTTGACGTTTTTATCGTCGGTTTTTATTTTACATTAATTTTCTCGCCATATAAATCAATTTGTCATATCTCCGCCCAGGCTTTGATTGACAAGAATTAAGATAGCCTACTCCCCAGTGATATTTCTAAGGGGATATCTTAATTGTCTCGATATCAGGAGGTCTGTGTGTGGCAAACTCACACGTTAACATATTAATTTTCCCCAGAAACTATCTCCGGATTGAGCTTACATGCTCCGAGTAACAACACACCACAGTGTATTAGATGGGCCTTGGGGAGGAAACGCCGCGCGAATTTGTAACATGGCGAAACGATCACAGCCAGACAAAGTGATATGGAGAATCATCAGCACAAAACGCTACGGGAGACTGGGAGGACCAACAACATGGCGCTATAAACATTGTCGTCGTCGTCGTCGTCCTCCTCCTCCTCCTCCT